TTTTTTTTTTTTGTGTGTGTGTGTTGCTTTTGTTGCTGTTGCTGTTGGTGTCGTCGTCATCCTTGTTGTGGTGAGTTCCACTACTGCCGCAACCACAGCTGCAATGCTCAATTGCTGCGCCCGCTGCCTGCTCTTCTTCTAAGTCCGCTGCTGTGAGTACGGCAACGACGATGACTTTATTCCTTGCTCGCCCTGTGCTCTGCAGCTGTCCACAAGTCTTCAGCCTAGCTTGATCAGTCTGGAATCTCCTTCTCCAAATTCATCACACGTGCCACGCAAGGAACTCACTGCATGTCTACAACGGCAACACCAAGGCAGCTGGGCATTGGTGACTAGCAGTGAATAAGGGACAAGACTCTGCGCGATCAGCTTCGCGCTCTTTGCTCATGACGTCATCCGTTGTAGCTGTGTCGGCGTGCTAGCTTGCCACACGCCGAAGTGCAGCTACTGGTCTTTCACAATAATGGTAGCAGAGTCAGGTCAGCGTCACAATGTTGATGGAATCGAAATAACTCAACAACAAACTTAAGCAAGGAGAAAGGACACGTTATTCTTTGAGATCTGTTGATCTTTCGCAAGTCGGTGGCGTGCCCTTGCCGTGCAGGTTAACGATATTGACATTCTGCTGCAGTTCCCTGATCCTTTGAAGGACCTGAAGCATGAGAGATGTCTGCCATTGTGCTTCTGCGTTTGCCTGTTCCACTCGCGGGTCGTAGACGAAGCGCCAGGACAACGATGAGATTATGATTGTCGGCCTTTGCCTGAGTTCAGCACCACTTTACCTCAGCATCTGTCCACTAGGAAAATTCGGAGAATCGTGGGCCTCGTTAGCTGTGAAGAGTGTGACAACTCTTATTAGATTTAGGTCGAAGTCTGTAGCATTGCTTTGGCCGCCATAGGAAACCGTAAGCCCGAGCCATGTCTATTTGACAAAAGTCCTCACGTATACCTTGGTAATTTGCCTACTTAGCTCTACACTACATGATCCTGCATACATGTGCCCATCGTTTAAGGACATGCGTATGTTCATATATGCATATCGCCCCATGCAGGTCCCCGTGGTTTCAACCTCATCGGAAACCCAGAGCTGGCGAATTGCAATGAGCCCTCGACTCAGAGATAGCCCCAGTCCTTCTAAGCCCCTCTTGGAATAGAGATTGTAAGCTCCAGTTAGTACCATGGTATAAGAGGGTGAATATTTACTAGCATGGAAGTATATAAGGGGTGGGTTGGAATCAAAGAGGGGTTGATCATGGGTTCTGTGAGGGCAACTGGGCTAATTCACGAATATTGCTGAATGTACTCGTTTATGCGGCCCAACTGGTTGAGCGAGAAAGGGCTTGCCGTTGATATTGGAGTGCGCCTTGCATGGTAAAGTCCATGTCTGCCGCCACGCCTTCATGCTGCCTCCCCCTGCTTAATCGGAAGACATCATGAAACAATGCAATCCTCCCGTTAAGACTAATGAGCAGAACAGTCGCATTGAGATATCAACTGCAAGCATTTGCATGCAAACAAGTGCGCTGTGCGTTGCAGCTGAGTAAGCAGCAATTGTTCCCAGAGACAAAAGCAAAGCACAAGATGATCCGCAGGCTACCAAGTCTGAACCTTAAAAGTGAGGCCCTCAGCCCCAAACTTTACACCCCAAAACCTCAGCGATTGCATAAGAAGAAAAAACTGCTGCAACAGAGGTTCAGATGGGTCGGGGGCGTTCAGCTGCCGGCAACAGGAGAGCCAGGCAGCGGGCAGGGGGAGCTATTTTGGTCACAAGAAGTCTAAACTCCTTAAAGGGGATTGATTCTGTATGGGACTATTCTAATATGGCTTCAGGGGGATACTAGGAGTTTAGACTGTAGCTCATCTGAACAAGCACTTACCTTGGAAGTTGTAGAATCGATAATGGACACCCTCAGTATCCGCGTGTAGTCCCCATATCCCGAGGGTTTTCAAGGGCCCTGCATTTTGAGAAGCTCCATTACAGCATGTCTCCTTGTACTCGGCAGATGGACAAGCTATTTTGCTTTTGAAAGGCTGCTTGTAAAGCCATGTTGGGTAAACGGCTATGCATATTTTGAGGGGTTGAGGGCGGATGTTCGACGCTTTGTGTGGACCGTGCCAGCCAGGGTTCAGAGAACATTTTGAAGATAGCAGTGTTATCAGGGATGCTTCAAAACTGAGAAGCCGCGTGTTCAGGATCAAGGTAGCTGACATGTCTGGTCAAGTTATCCATGCTAAAGTCGCTAGAGTCTTTTGGAGTACTCTTAGCTAGCTCGATGTCATGCTTCAGCAATAGGCATTTGCGGCTACTCCATGCTGAGAAAACAAAGACTAGTCAACAGATAAGTCGCTGAAAGCTGCCTGCGTCGCATTCCGTGAAGAAAGGGAAGGCTAATGAAATATCAATGAACAAAGAAATCCTCGATTGCATGCGCGGGTGCTTGTGGGAGTTTGGGGAGTGCGATGTGACTCGAGCTTGGCCTGTTGCCGGCTGCAACAACGATGACAACCGAGCTGACATGTCTCAGACAATTTGTTTCTCATGATTATCTGTACGTGGTCTCAATACAAACGTGGGCAAGCGGCATGTGCTTAAGCAGGTCAACACTTTCCACAGTTGCTTCCTCAAAGTGACTTCATGAAAGTGGACTTGTTAATAAAGCCATTGGCCATCCTCACCTATGCAACATCCGTTTTAAAGAATCATCCGGCACTTTGGCATTTGTCCAGGCTAATTTGCCTGAGGGAACACGGTTGCCGTGTGTGAAGCCACTGTGTGCCAGGTTGCACCTGCGACCCTCAGGGCTTTTGCACCATCCGTCTCTTGGCCTTGCATGCGGATGGGTTCCCAAAATTCCGGACCCTTTTGGGTATAAATTATATTTCGGCACCTTATATTTAGGGGTGCCAAAATGGGACCCTGGTTTTGGGAATTACCCAGATGCCAGAAGGCCAAAAATAACTAAGCCTTTTTTCTGACTTGCGCTGGTCCCGCAACCTCAGGTTGGCAAATCGATGAATCGAAGGACCCGGCGTATCCACAGAATGAGGACATCCACTTCAAGGCCAGTGCACAAATCAAGTCACTAAACGTTGGTTCAAGGGATCTAGGATAGGGATGCTATTGTTAAAGAACAGGTGGCCACAACCAACCCGTCCAAGACCCCGTTCTTGACGGACAACTACTGGAAGGCGGGTCAGTCAGGAACAGCAGCTGTACAAAAGCTTGGGCGCAGTCAGTGGGTTGGACGTTCTCTGAATGCTGTTGTGGATCTCGCCGCCACCAACAGAAATCCCCTGCAAGAAGATCAGGGGCTTTCTGAATCGGAATGAAACACAAGTTTCTGACGCTTGAGGCCTCCCACGTGAAAGCAGCGGTGGTCAAGTCCTCGCACATCTCCCGGGGCTGGGACATCAACCCGCAGCTGGAGAACGTAAAGCTGGCAGCATTTTGTGGATCTTACTTCCGAGCATCTTCCCGTCCATCAGGCTTCCATTACCTGTGACCGTCGATGTCGGGGATAGCAGGTGGACGTCAAACTGGTTGGCAACAAGTATGCGGCGGGAAAGACGTCGGACATTGAAGTCACGCGCAAACCTGAGCGCTTCGATTCTTTGGCCTTGAGCGTAGCGGCCTAAGGCCTTCCAAGAGACGAGCATACAGCACAGCTCAGGTTCACACCAATCACCGATGCCGACACCATCACCATCGAGGCATTTCATTGCTTCTGCTGCGCTGGGTTGCATGCTGGCCGGCCAGCAGGCTACCTGACACCAAATCAAAGTGTTGAATGTTAATGCAGGCGATCTTCCCAACTCAGTTCAGCTTCGATCAGTCTACTGCTCTGGGCTCGGCTTGCATCCCCGAAGCTGAAGGACAATCTAGAAGAGATTAACAACAATTTCAAAAGAGCGAGCGTGACAGCATGTTTGCGACAGCTGAACCTGCTGCAGCTTCCGCATACCTGGACAATGCATACTCTAATATCTTATAGTATAGTATGGTATATCATGGTATGTTATATTATAGCTCCAGCTTCAGGTCGCACTGCCCTATGATATCGATGGACAGAGTGGCAGACCCAGACATCCTTTCAAGCAGGTTCCTTCCTCCTAGATTCTGCATGTATTTTCCCATATCGTCCCCCTTAGTAGATAGAATATGCGGTGTATGGGGACTATGATATACCCAAAGCCAGATTCTATCTTCTTAAGGGGGACTATAGTTTGTAGGTCATCTTCGTGCTTGAATGCACGTCTCAGGCGAGGGTGCCACCCTGATCATCAACCGGGGAGGCGGACATGCACCCGAAGGACAATCCAGGAAGATCCAGGAAGTCACGTAGATTCCAGAGCGTCAGGTAAGCACCGATGAGAACATTCTCTAAATCCAAACCCTGAACCTTCTTCTGGTACGGCAGTCCTTCCCTTCTGTGGGCCCTTTAAGAGAGGGTCACGACATTTCCTGGGGGTATTTCGAAACATGGGTGGTTGTCAAAATTATGGCGCGAAAAGGACCATAATTTTGACAACCACCCACATAGATCATTGGCTGGTTGGTCAAACGCTCAGCATACCGCGTCAATAATTTTGCGAACAAGATCCCACGGGTTTCACCCCCACCTGTTCTGCTCAAGAGAAAAGCTCGGAATTGAGTTCATAATCTTTAAGTAGCCACCGTGGGGACTATTTCAGTGGTCATCAAGAGGATGTCGTTCATCCCATTCAGAGGCATGGGTTTTGCGGGGCATCTTGGAAATTGCTCGCTTAAAGACCCCTAAACTATAAACACCAATACATAATCCCAGTTTCCATTTAATTTTCCATGTCTTCTCCATTTTGATTTGTCATATTGGATCTACATAGCCCCACCTGTGGCTTCCTTTGCTGGCAATTTGCCAGGCTTCCGAGCCGGCATCATGGCCACCATCCGTATCAACACGGTTCGTCTCGGACGAGCTGGGGGCCAGCGTTAGGCTCAGTGGGAAGCTCCCAAGCACTCCTTTCCAAAGAGAGACCTCTTTTCATGGGTTCCCCTATTATCCCCCCTTCTAGGTTCCCCCCTTAATCAAGGTTACTAGTTATCCCTAAGTGACTTTAATTAAGGGGCGAATTCTGTGGGGGATAGCATAGGGGAGGGGCTACTAGGGGAACTCATGATCTTTCTGTGTCTCCAAATCTTAGTAGCACATGTACGGCATCGTGGCGACTGGAAGAACTGGATCCGCAGCTTGAGAAGCCCTATCTAACTTCAGCGTCGCCTTCAGGGCACCTTCCGTTCGCTTGTGCTGAAATCCTGCATGTCTAAATGCTCCACGCTTCTCAAAGGACGCGCTTCAACTTCATCACATACAGGGATGAGACGCGGACAGAGAAGAGGGCCCCACCCTCAGTGACGTGAGACCAGGTGTATGCTTTACCATCTTAGCCCTGTCGTTGCAAGCACAATCCTTGCAAGGACGAGAAGCTGGACTTCGACCAGGGCTTCCGGCTGCCTGGGTTGTCCGGCGCCCATACTTTGACCAACAACTGTTTGAGGCAAAGGAATTTAGGGTTCTGGCAGCTAGTGTTTTGCTGCAATCATATTATGTTGATTATTGAGATTGCTTGCCGAGTGGGGCAATTGCATGCATGCTTCCGCTTCGCGCAGCTTGACCGAGGATTACAGTGCAAGGGACACCCGTACTGAAGAGCATGCCGGGCTCCCGGAGCTTCTCAAGATCATGGCGTAGCCAGCACGACCTCGCTGGCTTGGCAAAAGTTGATACCCCACCATGATCGAATCCTTGTTGTTGAGACGCCAAGAAGCCAGGGTTGTCACAAAAACCCTGCGCGTTCTCGCTGTGTGGGACGGCGATGTGTGTGAACGCCGAGGTACCAGGATGCCAAGGCCATGTACCCTGTGAAGTCGCTCTTCCAGCCGCGCGTGCTGGAGGACATGGGCAGAGTCAAGGTCCATTATCACTACCATACATCGGGATAACGGAAAAGAGCATGGAAACTACTATCTTACAATAGGGGTTATACACTGGGGTTATAGGGTATATATATATATACAGAGATACGGTTATAATAGGGTTATATAGGGGTAGGTTGCTCTGTGATGACATCGGAACTTGCAGGATGCCAAAGCTGAGTTCACACTCTCCTTCACACGGGCTGTCCAGGCATCTGAAAGGTCGGCACCTGAGCTGGAACGCTGCTTGAGTTATGTTATACTAGAAATAGTAGTAGTGCAGTAGGTGTAGTAGTAGTAGTAGTAGTAGTAAGAAACATAATATAGTAATATAGTAATAAAGTAACATAGTAGTATTGTACTCATGTTATGACAGCCTTGATTCCACTATTCAAGTTGAGGCTTCTCATTACGTGTCAGGGACAAGCACAGTACCAGCTCAAGTGCGAAGCTCAGCATTGACTTGCTCCTGCTCAGTTGTGAAGGGGGGATTCTCTAGGAAATACTCTAGTTATTTGGGGAACTCCGAAAATTGTGGGTACCTTTCTGGGGGTCCCCATAATAAGGACTATAGTATTTTGGGGTCTATACATTGGGGTTCCCCTGTTTAGGGAAGCCATCATTTAGGAAATTCTGCGCGTATCCGCTCCCCCCCATTTCGAACTCAGCCTTAGCAGGTTGAACCAATCCTTGCCTGGCCCTAAAGGTTTCAGATTTGGGGTTTAGGGTTCAGGGTTTAGAGTTCAGGGTTTAGAGTTTAGGGTTTAGAGTTTAGGGTTTAGAGTTTAGGGTTTAGGGTGTAGGGTTCAGGGTTAGGGTTCAGGGTTGGGGTTTAGGGTTTGTGCCTCATACTCATACAGAGTAATTTCACAGCTAGTGAGTAGCAGACTACAATATTGTAGCTATACTCTGAATTCCGTAAAGGGGTCTATATAGGGGACCATACAGGGGAGTATTGTAGGGGTTATCAGTGGGATACTAGGAGTTTAGACTGTAGCTCGTTTGATTAGTACCGATGAGCCGATTGGACCCATAGCAGTCCCCCTATTCCCCGATGGACTCAGGGTGCAGGAAATGACTTGCTTCTTCCTTTGCTGCAAGGCAGTCCCCCTTCGTTGTCATCGGCATTGGCCCGATTGAGACATCGGTCGGGTGCATAGAAGTCGGGGTTTCTCGAGAAGAGGGTTCATGTTTCTGGGCTTTAGAAGCAAGTATTACACTTTTCTAAAAGCCTCCCAGCGCTGATCCAGGATTTATGACCCTAGGCCCCCCAGAGGCTTGGGGAGACTACGCAAGAACCTTTGGGCTCCCTTTTCATCCACCTAGTTTGCAGGAGTTGTTGCCAGAAAGTCGTGCCGATATGCAAGCTTCCGGCATAGTATTGGACCTTGGATCATGTGTGTCCCTTTCTGCTTCCCGCAATGCTGTGCCGTTGTTAACTGGGTTCGAGCTTGGAAGAGAGCGACTTTGGTGATGTTGTGTTTGCTTGCATCTTGAATCCACCATATCTCCAGCCGAAGTAGACATTTTTGTCATCCACAGCGGTCAGGCAATGAGGGCTGTAGGTATTTGGGGGCGCTAAGCTTGCATGGCAGTATCTTCTCGCCAATTGCGCGGCTCAAGCCTCTTCATTCCGTAGGATATACACACTCACAGGCAAAAGATGACTAATGTTTGTGGTTTCAGGCTTGGACCAGTTTAGCGTGTTGCTAGGGGGAGACTTGGGTTCCTCCCCTGCGCCTAAGGCGCCCATGGCAAGTTTCTGGGTGAAATGTGCCCAGGCGGCAAGCTGGCTCTGCGAGCCAAAGTTCTCGCCGGCCAACTGTGAACCACCACCTGCAATCCTCGAAGAGGAAATGGTGAATGTCGCGCAGCAGAGTTCGATGGGGCAGACACAGACCAAATTGATCCTGGAAGAGGAGCCGAAAGAGCAGCTGCAAGCTGCACGCCAAACGGAGGCTGAGTTGTTGAGTGAATTGCTGAAGGATCGCATGAAGATGGCAAACAAAGTGAAGGCCTTGCAGGAGCAGGTTGGCGAGCTCAGCGACGTGCTTGAGGAGACTCGTGCAAGGCTGGTGCAGGAGGAGAAGGCCTCAGAAGGGCTTCGTGCACAGCTATGCCAGCAGGAAGATGCCGGCGAGGCTCGTTCAGTTGAGCGGGAACTTCTAGGTGCACTGCTGAGCAATCGCCTCCAAATCTCACACAGCGATCAGAGCTTGCAAAGCACCATTGAAGAGCAGCGCAAGGAGATCGAGCAGCTACGCGACGAGCTACGCTCGGCCCAGGCAATGCTTGTGAACGAGCAAGCTGCTACACAGGAGCTGCGCGTTCAGATGCAACAGGAGCGGGAGATCATCCATGCGCCCTCAGCACAGAAAATGTTAACAGTAGAGACTGAAACGGCACAGG